AAATCTAGTCTGTAAATGAATTAAACTTATAAGACTGAAAAAATTATTAGCAAGAACAGCCATAAGATATTGTGTCTTTTGGGAATTCTCAAAATTGTATAGTTATAATTCCATGATGAAATGTAAAGGAACCGTATGGGGCGGGTATATGCWTAAAGTCATTGACCACAATATAGTTTTATGTTATACTTAAAAGCAAAATTAATATAAATYAAAATAATGTATTTCCAGCAAAAGTGACGGTATAGTGGGGAAAACCTCTCCAAAAGACACTAATTAGTAATTACTAATTATGAATACACGAATCTTAAACTTGCAATACACATTAATGACTTATTTCCTAAATATTCAAAAAATAATAGATTGCCTATTAAATATTCTAATCATATTATATAATAAAAACTTATATTTTAATAAATAATAATTTTTGAGCTACCTATCATAGTTACACTTGGAGCTAATAACAAAAAAAACAGCATTAAATAATAATAACGGTTGGAATTGCATCATGATAACTAATAACAATAATAAAATAATTATTAAGCGTGTAAAAATAATAACAAGCGCATTGTTTGTGCCCACGATTATAGTGTCTAAATTACGACGTTAGTTTAGGAACCAGCGCCTCACACCTGGTAAATTTATATAATATATAATATGGTATAGCTGACACCTGCCATCTAACTGYTGCCATATGACGTGCTGACGTATATGCAAAGGCGCATACATAAAATTATATATGCGTATACATATTGCTTCACAAACTTTCCCGTTAAATAACATTAAATTAATAATTTAAAYTTTTACAAATTATATTAGTTTTTAGGTTGAACATAAACGTTAACTTCATTAATGAGTAAAATACGAAGATACAAAGTTAATTTAAAAGAAAGTTTCTGATAAAGTGATAACCCATCATAATAATATATAATATAATAAAAATAACAAATTACTCTTCTTTTCCATTATTCTTACTATTAGTGATAAAACATGATATAAACTAATTTTAATAGGACATTTTTGAATATTTTATAAATACCAACAAAAATATTGCAGAAAAACAATAATAATAATAACAACTTTCAGCAYAGTTTTAGTACCATTAATACGTAGTTAATACCTTTTATTCCTGGTAAAAACCTACATTTTTTCACAGTGATTCTTTCTACAATTCCAACTATACTTAATCAAACTACCAAATGATATAAATTRATATCTGACTAGCAAAATTKTAATTTTTCAAGACTTAATTTAGTTTTGGTAATTTATGGATAAGTAACAATAGTAAATCGTAATTAATACAAACTAAATATTTTAAAATAAGCAGTTATCTAAAATATTTACAGGTTATTAAAACGATTACAAAACAACGATTTTTGAAACTAAATTATAGTAATAATCCAATTTTGTTTAGTATGAGTAGTATATAATACATGGATCATCAAATATTACAATAGCACAAATTTACATCCAATTTGTGATACACAATAAATTATTATAAGTAATTGTTTGTARATCTAGTTCGCTAATTCAATGATAAATGAACAATGTATTTTATTAGTTGCTATAAGTTACTATGGCCATAATGATTAATCCAATCCGAAAGAGGATTGATAAAAGATACCTTGATGATAATATTAAAATATTAGATGGTGTAGACTGTAAACTCAATAGAGAAAAAAATGACTCTTTAACGTATGTGAACAATATAATGAAAATTAATAGAAGAAAGGGTAATACTATAATAATTTTTTATAGTAAATGCCCCGAAAAGCTTTTCCCAGTAAATGTGCATTGAAAACATCAATACTGCACAGACTGTACACTTTACCACTCAACCTCGAAAAATACTCGATTATACCGCACACACACAAAAAAAAAAATAAAATAAAAATACCACTACTAAATTCTGGTTGACTTATTCCGCCTTTAAAGGTGGTGTTTGCATGGTTTTAAATTGTTTTTATACATTACACAAATGCGAAATGTTGGGTTTTATTCTAACATAGAAATGACTAATGACCCGTGCTTGAATTGGGAAAAATTAAGTAGAGGAGTTCAATCCAACGATTTAAAAACTGCGTTCCAAGTGCACAATTAATCAGCATAGACCCACGGGGGGCTTCGGACATTAGTTAATACCGTCCTCCCGCCCAAGTAAAAAAAAATAGTAGGGGTACGCAAAAAAAAATTTAAATAGTAGGGGATTTCCGTCCCCCTGCGCACCTCTCCCTCCAATTTGAGCACTGCTAATGACGAATAAATGATGACTTAGAAAAATGAACTTTTAAAGAAATACTTTAAAATATATATAATATTAAATGTAATATGTACCTATTTATTTATGTGACCATGTTTCATAATGTATTTTTAGTTCATTTACCAAATAATAAGATACATTACCAATATTATATATACAATATACAACGTTTAAAGAGTAATATATTATTCTATATTATATGAATTAAACTTGAAGATAACTATTTTCAAAATCATAAAAATTCTTTTAAAAAAAAAAACGGCTTTAACTAAAATTATTATTTTTCAAAATTACATTTTAAATTTAAAAAATATTTTGTTCATGTAGAATATAACTTTCTCGTGATAAATAAGCAAAAAATAAGTTACCTATAGAAAATATAAATTCACCCCTTTCTTAGGGTCCTAGAGACTAAAGAGGAGTATGCATTGAAAATTTACTTGGTGACGTGAAGGGTGACAAAAAATTATATAGGGGAGAAGGTCAAAAACGTATGACGTCATTTTTCAACAATCTAAAAAAACGTACCGAATAGTTTCGTTTAAATTAAAAATAACACTTGAGTATATAAAGCTTCAGCAATTAAACCTCTTGTATGATAAACATTTTCAAAATGGCAATAACATGAAAATAAAGGTTTGAGTTTAAGTTTAGGTATCCCTGGTTTGTCAATAAAAATGCCGAATTTTTTATCAACAGTTACAAGCCCGTAATAGCAGCTGTTGGTAAAGATGAAAGAGAGAGAAAGAGAGAGAGGGACTAACACTGTAAGTAACATCTGCCTGTAGGCTTCTAACATTGCTTATAATAAACTGGTATATAAAAAGGGTGAGCATTATAAAAAAATTATGGGAATAAGTGAATAACAATTGTCAAAAATTGGTATGTATGTATATATTTTTCATTACCTTTGCATCGAAATTAAAGACGTGTTCACACTGAAAAGGACATTCAAGTCCACATTTGCATGTACCCTGAGTTTGCAAATATATTTTAGCTTGATCCAACGAATTTAGAACTGCGTTGCTAGGACTGTAAAATAAAATAACGCATCGTTATAACAAAATATGTAGTAATTATGTTTATAATATTTTAACTTAATTAGTAYATTAAAAACTAAACATAATTCTGAGCAAATTAAGAACAAAATAGTATTATTGAAACAGTTTGGTACAYTAAGAAACAAACAAAATACTAAATAATAATACCGAATAATTAATCAAAAACATAAAACTATGTAGTTTTTAAATAATTTAATAGTTAACCTAAAWATAAATAAAATTTGAATAATTGTAAAGTATCATCGACTTGCTTCAATATTATCATTAATTAACTTAAATTATAACAATAAAAACATAGAAAATTATTATTCTTTAGAAAATAGATATTGTTGAAATTATTTTAAGGGTGGTGCGACGAAGGTTTTTAACCAAGAGGAAACACGCACAGTGCTCACCCTCAAGTGTTACGGTTCAAATAACTATCGCCCTTCCAAATATATTATGTATGTATAACAATGTTCTATAAGATATGTTTTTTAGATTCTTTGTAAAAATATTATTTTAACAAATAGTTTTTAATGGTATCAAAAACTATAAGGATAAATTACAATTCATATTATTTACAAAATTAAAACATTTATTTCCATGTTTAGTCAAATGTAATTCAATTCTAATAATTACATTTTGATACATGCAATATGTCATATAATATTAGTAAAATTGAATATTTTCGATAAATCCTGACAGCTGGTTATAAAAACCGGTTACTAAGACCACTAGGCAATTTTAATACAGGAATCGAACGATTTAAATTATTGTTAAGACCACCAAATACATGAAATATTTAAGAATTTACGATACTGAATAGTCCTTGAGATTAAGACCATACGAAAACTATATATCATAAAATTATCGTGTTCTATTACATTTACATTTTTGAAATTATCATATCCAAATAAAAACGAATCAATATAAACACTTTTATATTAAGTGTATAAAAATGGTATTTATAATACTGCGATTGAGACATTTTATTTGTTTGGTATTTAAAATTTATCATTAATATTCTTATAAGTTCTTAACAAATAAAATCAATTACATAGTTCATCATTCTTATTTTTCGATATTCTGTTTAAACAAATTTATGTACGTATTATTTAATTAGAATAATTAGATAAATAACACGCATTATTAAAATTGTATGTAAAACAACTTATTAATAATCGTTTAACTTAATAATAATGAAATCAATTTCCAAATGGTTATGAGAATATAATTCTCATAGAACTACGTTTTCTAAAATAATGTGACAATATAAGTTATTAATTGTTTTTAAATAGTTGAATAATTAAATAAATAATATGTTAATATTATCTTAACATAAGCAAAATATATAAATGAAGAGTATTTGGTAAATTGTCAACAGTTACATCAAGAAATCTGACATTTATTTMATCGTTGAAGTATAAACTACCTACCTACATCATTTATATATTAATGATTTGTTTCTTTCTCCAAGTATCGCTTCTTTCGTTTACATAAGTGGGTCAAAACGAATGCCTTAGGAACATTTGAAAACAATGTTGTAATGCTGAGAATTTTTAAAGGAGTGACCGGTTATTTTAGAATTAAAGTACAAATGATCACGCAGACAATAGAACACGAGATGACGAAAGAAAAACCGCGCCCCGAAAATCATAACAAGCTATTTGTATCTGAAGCTTGGTGTTAAAATTCAAAATTAGTAGCGTTCTTCAATACGCCTACTGTCTGTATGCAAATTGGACTACCTTCTACACAATAAGATTTATATTTGAGTTTGATCAACACTAAACCTGGGAGGTATGATAAGTTTGTTATTGCATAATAAACAAGTTTCAGTAGTATGCATAATGTGAGTGTTCCAAATTTCTTCCTACATCCGAATCCAATATAAGACTACAAAATGCAATGAAATCTTTGCATAACAAAAATGTCGAATGCAAATTATCATGGCCAAAAATTATGGCGTAATTTAATACATCATGTGCTATACATATACACATATACTTATAATCACTTTGAAATGGTAATGAATATTATGTATAGGAATTAATTATTATKATATGATTAAATAAATATACCTATTCAATATACGAGTATAATATTATTATTTAAATATTTGTTTTATTGGTATATTGTATTACCAATAATAATAGGATGGTTTTATTTATGTTGTCCGACCGGTATTTATAGGAACGACTATAACAAGAAACAAATCGCAGAGAAAAGGTCAAAATCGTGACCGWTCACAAGATTGAAGATCTCATACAATAAAACATTTAAATTAACACTAAAACATTTTTAAATACGAATCTCATACCTAGTCATATTAATATTTAATACACTTCCCAACTTTAGTATTAATATCATAATCTATCGTGTTCTATGAATGACACGTTTTAATACTCATCAGGATTATGCCACGCCCATGTACGTATAGTGTTCGTTACAAACGTAAGCGACGAAACAAATTTGCATTTATAGCAGTTCCAATTTTGAGTAGAAACATTAAATAATAGAATAAATTGATACATTATTAAGCCTATAAAAGTAAAAACATTATCTATTGTAACATGGGTTGTTTACGATGTTATAATTTTTAAGCAAATTATGAGTATGTGAAATATTGAAGTTTAAAATTTTCAGAATTGTTTACAAATTAAAATACCGTAAAAACCCCCACTTGAATACACGGAAAATATTTTAACTTCAAGTATGGTTATAAGTAAATTAACTTAATTATTAAAGGTTACTAATTAATAGTTACACTAGTACACTACGACACTACGACAGTAAATTGAAACACCTGAATCAAATTTACAGTGTGCGTTTGTACTGAGACACATAATATGCGGCACAGTTGTCTGTCTAAATGTACTTTCAATCACTGTCATGTGCCAACTTTCTCGATTTAAGGTAATTTTAAAATATTTTATAGGTAGTTGGTTTTATAATTCATTAATGACTATTAATAAAAATGTTTATTTATTTTGTCACATGAATATAATATATTAATATTATATGTCAAATRGGTAATGTTATTATTGTTTATCATTAAATATTATATTTGAAATACTTCAGCAACTAAATAGATAACGTTTAACAGATTTTATACGTGATCGGCTTCCAGAGTCTAGATTTCCCAATATCATTTTAAATACACATTTAAAACTATAAAAAATACTCTGTCTATACACTTTGCTCGTGATTTTGGGGTATAAAAAGATTTGACGAATAGGTGTAGGTATATTTTTAGTGAAATTGATAGACAGTGGTCGTGATACTAGTCATCTATGCCAATTAAAAACGGTCCGGTCGTCACGACTGTCACAGTCGTGAAACTGATGAACCGCACGACTTGCTAAACGATTTTGGTATTTTAGAGGATAGAAGTACTGTTACTTAGAGGKAAGTTGCGTAAGTGGGCGGATAAAAGTGTTTATAAGCCTGTTATGTGTAAATAATAGAGAATGATATTCCAAGTTGGTCGAGAACGATCATAATGGTAAAATAAAGATGAAATATACATAGAATATACTTAATAATCAACAAAGTAATTTTAGATGTAGTAATAGTATATATTATTTCAATGTGAAGGATTGTAAAAATTTAAAGCTTTATTAAAATACCTAATAAATAAAAAGTCATAAATTTAATATTCGAGAAAACATTAAATTAAATTTTGTAAAATAACTATGTTAATTTAGCAATAAATAATAACGTTAAATTCATTAATTATTAAGTTTATGAAAACAAATAAAAATATTTGAAAGAATAAAACACAGAATATATATTTCATGATTTCAATATCAGATACATTTCACATGATTAAATTGATCCAAATTTCCATTAAATGTTTTATACACAATCATTGTCACGATGTTTCCGTYAAAGATATCACGTGGTAAAGAAAAATGTTTTGTATTTAAGGTAATTAGGCCAAAAACCTATCCATAGCTTAACAATGTGCCATATTCCACCACAYGGTGAAAGGTTCAATGAACTATATTAACTGTAGAGTAAATTTCATTATTTTGCTAAGTGAAAGTATGTGCGTGTGTTTAAACAACTAAAAAGAAAAATATCACGAGACATAAATCTTAAATATCGAGGCATCTAATGCAAACAGTACACTTTAATTGAACATCTAGAATATTCTATTCATAGATGAATATTATACATTTCATACTTATAATATGAGATACTAAATTTAATTTTTTTAATTTTTCAAAAGATATCCTAAACCTTACATAATGTAACTAATTATAAATTTGTCATTGTTGATCAGTAATTACTAAAATAGGAAAAAAATAAACTCATTTATTATATTGCTAATTCTTCGTATTCGTCGTATATCATAAATTAGAAATAATTAATTACAAAGTATTATGAATCWAAATATTGTTATTCTGTTAGTATTATTTTTATTAATATTCTAGAAGTTATTAATAACACACAAACACCAAACATTTGGAAAACACAATTACCTATAAAACTATACGCATATCACAAAATCAATGTTTTTTAAAAACATTTTATTGCACATGAATTTCTCTATCCTCACGCAAGGTTCATTACATGACCTCACTCACCGCACTTGGTCGATTATGATTATGATGGCGTAGTTGATAAAAAAAAAATTACAATACACGAATGATCGGGGTCACGCATAACAGCCTTATTCAGCTTATAAATCAAATTCATATTTGGATTTTGGGGGCCGTCTTTAAGAACCATTCTAATAATATAAAAAAGTTATTAGATCAAGTTGAAATT